ATTCCTGCTAATCATATCAAGGGAGCGCAGAACAAGGACGAGGATCTATTTTAATATTTACCACTCAGTGATAACATTTTAAAAGTGTTCTTTTACGGATTTGTTTTCCTCATCTACTTGTAAGGATGGCTGGACACAACTTTCCCACTGCAAACAATTACTTTAATTTTGAGTGCAATCTAAAGGTTTTCTAGGATGCTCCTCTTTGCTCGTTAGGCCAGGGATCAAACTTTTCACCTCCAAAAAGTCCTATGTATGAGGAGCATGACTCTGTTTCCCTGCTCCTTGTGCTGCACTTCTGAGAACAGAATCCCTCTGAAATTTTACTGCTTAAAGACTCCTTGTTTAACAGGACATATGACCATTACCTCAGTTTCATTGCAGCAGAAGATGTCAGAATGGGTATAAAATTGTGGATCTAAGTCCGCAAGGGCTGGAGCTGGATTAAATAAAGTCTTAACTGGAACACAAAAAAAAAAAAAAAAGAAAATGTCTATATTGCCAGTGTTTTAGATTTATAAACCATCACCTGAAATACTATGGTTGTTAATTCATAGTCCCCAGTGCTTAGTATTAACACACAAACGGCTCTCAGTTTCTGTATACTTATTTCATAGAACTGCTAAAAGTTGGTTTTTATATTAAAGTTCTCTTTTATTTCATGTGCAGGCACCTGTCATGATGGGAACAGAAAAAAATAACCAAGAAATTATTAAATATATTTAAAAAAGAGAAAAAAGCTTTCAACAGTAATGTAATTTGTTAAACTGATGACGCTTCTTCCAGGATTTTAAAGAGTTTTACAAGACCTGATTTTGTTCTAGATTTTTTTCAGTGTTGTTATCTGCGTTCTGTACATGAAAAAACAGGGGTATGGAGTAATGAAGGGCATGTCCAGACAAGGAGTTAAACGTGCTTCTGAATGTGTTACCTAACTTGTTCAAACTGCCCCATTATAAAACTGTAGTGTAGGCAAGGCACTGTATATTTTTAATATGCTATCTGGCAGAGCTAGACCTGAACTTACCATGTGGTAGAATATGTTAGTTAACCTAGCTTTAAACTGTAGCCTAAGGCCCCATGTAACAGCAGAAAAGGTTTGTCATGAGGACAGTTTAAGTGACTTACTCACTGTTAACACAGGAAGTCTGCAGATTTGATTTCTCACTTTGCCAATTTTATGATTAATACTTCTATGTCTTAACCACAAGGCCATCATTTTTATATAAAGCACACTCTCTTACTTGAGAAATATTTGTTATAGTAAGTGATCAAATCTTGCAACTGGGATGCCTAAATTTTCAGTCCTAAACACATATTTAGACTCTAAGCTACAGCACATCATATCCAGATACTCTGAACACTTCTGAATCCCAGTAAATGCCCTAAAAGAGAAAGATGCAGAGATTTCTGAAATCTGAGTACTGGGAAGCTTAGAAGATAACCTTTTTGATTAACACTCTAAAAGTTTTAGCCTTTGACTGTACAACTTTATCATGCTTCCCTACTTGCCTCGTTAAAAAGAGTATTAAAGCGACAGACATTTACTCAGAAGTCGGAAAATACCAGGATTAGGATTTCCAATGAAATCTTAATTTGGCTCCCTTATATTATTACAATACAGTACGTATTATAATAAACTCTTTAATTATATGATCACATACCACTGAAAAACAGCATGTGATCACATAATTAAAGACTGCAACATAATACATATGCAGGAAGGAGACAAATTAAGGTTTCACAGGCGAGCTTAACTCTTGCATTTCCTATTTTCTGAATCGCAACCCTAATGAAGTATTTTTAAACACAAATCTTTAAGGTATACTTTCCTAGGTAAAACTAACAGCATACACTGGAAAGCCAACTCCGTCATGAGGGATCATACCCACAGGTACACAGGTCAGGAGCAGCACTGGAAGTGTTCCAACTTGGGTTTTAAGTAATACAGACGCATCATGAACAGGGTGTAATACATGACTGTTAGTTTGCTCCCTTATTTAATATCTGATGAGGAGGGGGGAGATAGAGGAATCCTAAGATTCTCTTTCAGGTTGTGGACAGGGTAATCTGTTTGGTCTCCCTGAGGAACACAAAATTATTTTCTGCCCCAATTCTTCCTCTCCCTTTGCCAAGATCCATTCTCCTTACCTCGTTTCCATTCTTTATGCCTCCTTGCATAGACATTATTAAATAGTAACCCATTTCACTCAACTTTCATCACATCGTATCTCTTTATGTCCCCTCTCCTAAGTTTTCTTTCTCTCACTTCCAGTACCCACAGCCGAAGTTACCACTCTGATGCTACCACCATATTCCAATCTCTATTCAACAAATCCTACTCTCTGTTCCAATTTTTTTCCCCTTTCACCTTCCCTCTTCTTTCTTCCTCTGCCATTCCAAAATCAAGCAAATCCCTCCTACACTTCCCTGTCTGAAATCTACTCTCCCTCCCCAGCATTCTCTTCTGTATTCAAGTCATGCAAGTTCCTGCTCTGCATTTCCTGGGCCTACAAGAGATCTTTAACAGTATAAAAGAAGTTGCCTAAAACCAGATTCAGGAATTACACTGAAAGTTGTGCTGCCCAAATGGACAACCGCCTGTGTGGACAGACTCTCAGGGGAAGCTAGCTGTGAAGCTCTAAAAATTCTCCTCAAATCTATGTGAAAGGTAGTTATTTTCCAAAGGCAGATAGATAATACAGTAAAACTAGGCAGATTTCCATATTGTTTTAAAGGCTTATATTTTAAAAGAAAGCTCCCTTGCTATCAAGTCCTAAGTAAATTTGAAGGTAGCCAGTATTCATAATTTAAAAGGGGGTAGGGTAGGAGGCATTTTCCATTGCCTGCTTTCTGCAGCCACTATGCTTTGGCAGAAATTACAAAGAGTTTAACCACAGACAAACAGCTGATGTGAAAAATTGCAGCCCAAGATTAAAAAGTTGAAGGACCTGAAAAATAGATCCTTTACTTGCAAGTGACATGGAACCTTAACAACCGAGGCTGCTTCCAGCCCATTCTTTACTACAGTATTAATAGGTGGGAAATTATCAGCCATGTTTAATGGAGTCTGTCATTACAGAGGCCCAAAAACTGCTTTAAAGGCTTTGGTATATAATAACATTCTGCCCATCAATGAAGCGGACCCCTCTTGGAAGCAGAAGCAGCTTCACAACACATGGTGATTAAAAACCTAGAATTTTCTTGTCAGATTTCCACGACAATTTATACCGACTTCATATAATTACCCACAACCAACCCCCCCTCCTTCATTCCCTCCCTCCTTCCCTTCCATCTTCACAGTACTGTCACAAGATCTTCAATAAGCAGTGCCCCAACGAGGGGATGTTGGAACATGAGATGTCCTTCTCTAGGTTACAGGCCCCAGGTGATGTTCACTGAAAAGAAGCAAAGGGTTCTTGCCTGTGTGTCCACATTTTTTCTCCATCTATTGTTTATTTCTTTCAGTAAGAATGAAGAAAAACAAGCAAGAAACCCTTGAAACAGAGGTTTGAGGCATCTGGGTATGCATCTGTTTTAAACGAAAATAGTCTAGTGCACATCCTAACACGCAGTACTGCATTATACATGAGGGTATTGCAGGCTAAAAGAAGGGAAATTGCATTAACAATTTACAGTTGGCTAAGGATAGATTTTTACAGTGCTACAAACTCAGCTGTTTACTCAGATTTGACTGCACATGACATTTGAACATGTGTAGCCTATTGCTTTGAAGCAGAAGCAACCAAAGCTTTCCTGATACGAGAGCTGTACGACAGCAGACTGACAGCGCAGAACTATAGCTGGCCCACAGTTAACTACTATCTTTTCTCGATATACTGTGCTGTCTGCAGTTGCTAAATGCTTGCATGTCTGCTCTCTGTATCAGGTTTTGATTTTTTTTAATTGCCTTTAAAAAACTCCTATCTTTTCTTCTGTCACAGGCTGGCATCTTGCCGTATGAGGGTGACAAAGTGTGAAGCATCTTACCAAAACTATGCACAGTTAGAAGCAGATAAAGTAAGTCACGGAGATTGTCTCATGACTCAACTATAGTTCATTAATCCCTAGATTAAGAATGCTTTTATCCATTTTCACAAAACATAATGAAAAATATATAGTAAACTCTGCTCCCCTGCTGTATTTTAAGCATTCCAGGTGTTATTCAGTTTTCTAAAGTTTTTAATTTTTCTTTAGATTTGCATGAACCCAGTTTTGACATTTCAAACAAAGTCAAAATAATTTTTCCCCACATACAGTTCTGTTCATAGAGCTTATGACTATTACCACCACGGTTTCAGTGCCACTCTCTCCCAGCCCCGCACCTTAACGTTGTGCTTAAATCAGCACAAAGTGCAGGAACAGGATGCACAGAGTGCTGCTACAGCTGACAACTTCACTCGTGTGTGAACACCAGTGCTCACAGCAGGTGCAGGACAGATTGCGGTGCAGAAGGACTGAAGAGCCAACGATACCCAAGTGCTGTGAGGTACTGGAGCAAACCTGGGCCCAGCTGCAAGGAACCAGACAGTTCTGGTCACAGCTCCATGCCGGACCTGCTGCCTGACTGACCATACTGTGAGCTCTCCCCTCCCAGCGTGATCTTCCAGAGAGACGACAACAATATTTTTAATCTCATATAGATGCCTCACTCGCATAATTATTTACTTAGTGTTCAAATTCAGTGCTAATTGTGTTTGAGTAAGCAAAAGCGTTACAGGCACTTAAACACAAAACCATCAAGTCGGTAGTGAAACCCCATCCTGTTCAAGCAAAACGGCAGCCTTTATGTAGGCATATGCTACGCTGAAGGAACACTGGCCTACAATTAAATTACAGCACAGTAACAATTCACTAATCATTTCACAGACTAGGACTGTCTTGTCAATGGCAGCATGCCATGTCACACACGAAGAATTTTGGTTGAGAAGAAAAAGCATTTTTATTTTTTACTTTAAGGATGTTAACTACTATATAGAAAACCACAGCCATACCTACTGCTATGCTGGGTGAACAAGGGCTTAAATCTGTTTTTGAGGTCATATCATTCACTTTATTGTGTGTGGAGCTTTACTGACTTGCATTCATTATGCCCGTTCTGCCCTGGAATAATACCAGAGTCAGGCCCAGAGTTCCTGACCTAACAACATTACACCGCATTTAGTCACAGCATGCAAATCAGGGGGAAGGCAGCACCAGGCATACGCGGGGAGATTGTAAGGGTACAGGCTGATTTGCCATTCAAGGTAAACGCTGCAAAATTTTCAAACTGAATTCAGTTTTCATTAGCATAGCATGAATTTGCTGGCTATTGTTTCATTTCTAAATAAAACTAGTATGACAGAAACTAGAATAGACCAAGGGATCTTTATTTAGAAAGCAAGATAAAGAGTATTTTTCATGCGACACAAATGAGGGAGACAGAATGGCTTATGTTAAATTACCTCCACTGGCACGTGCCATTTTCAGAGCTTCAAGAGAAACAGCAGGGGTTATTTCTAGCTGGCAAACGACCACTTTGGCTTGACAGATGACATCAGAAGCACTCTTCAGGTCTTCAAAATTTAAAAGCAGGTTGGCTCCTGGGACTATGACAATAACATTTTGTCCTAAAGAGAAGATATTGTGGGTTTTTTACATTAATTTTTGCAATAAAGTACATAAAACAGTTCCTTGATTTTCTACAATACATTTCAGATGAGGATTTCAATTTCCTTTCCAAAAAAAACCCACTAGAAATGTATGTATCGCTGGCATTTTCAAATATACAAGGGTTTCAGAAGATAATCAGAAAGATCAATGGAGTATTGAATGCTACACTGAACAACAAACATAGTATATATTTCTTTGGGAAAACTCATGTATGGCCTTTCCCCAGTCTTATTTTGGTGTTTTCTTTGAACTCTAAAGCAGCACTGTACTAGTCACAGGGGAGATGGAGGACATACATTGAGGCTGGTACTTGCATTTTCCTAAAATATTCCAGTAGCACTTGAAGAAAAAAACATCATTGTGATTGAGTTCGTATGCGAAAATGCCATAAACATTTTAATTTTCCCATCAGCTGGAAAAAGAGAATAGTTCACCCAGCTATAAAAATTATGCCTGTTGTTTAGATTTCTGAAACAGGCTTGCTCCATTTACCTGCCACACTTCAAGTTAGGGCCATCATGAAAAGCAGAATCAGCTTGCCACCAAAACTAGGAAAAGCAATGCTTGTGTCTAAGGAAAGCTTTATCAGAAGTGAGTTAAGAAGGTGGGTGCCAGATTTTTCTGCACTTAAAGCTGACCAGTAAAACGGTTGAAGCAAAGCGATACGTGTGGAAAGCACGGCAGTATCTCAAAGCACATCTAAGATCCTTTACATTCTTGTAGTTTGTTTTACAGTTAGGTGAGGAGGTTCATTTACACAGGTTCCAAATATTCTTTTCTTTTTCTTCAGATGTGCAAGTTGCCTTCATTTACTGCAGTTCCTTTCTTTCATTCTTTCTTTTGTTAATATCTGTTACAACACCTAGAGACCTTCAGGCATGGGTGCCTTCAAATTAAAATTTATTATTAATCACTCAGGTATTAAATTCAATAAGTCAGTTGTTCCTTGATTTACAGGCTCAGCCCGCCCCCGCTGAAGATTCCTTTAACGACTGCCAATCATTAAAGGCTACCAATTCTGTAATGAACTGAATTACACCGTGAATAAATATTTATGTTTTTAAATACATTATTTTTGTTGAATGTGACTTCAAAGTCCTTTGAATAAGAAACGTGCAAAGCTTGTCTCCCTAAATACGTTCTGAAAAGAAAGCAGGACAATGGAAAGAATAATATAGTGATCTCAGAGGGAGGGGCCCAAGCTTTCCAAAGCAATTCTGCTGTCAATGGTTTGGTACAGAACAGCTGCATACGAAAAGCAAAACCTCAGCATTTAAAGACAACGCCCTGCTTTTCAACAGACAATGATGGGCATCCCGAAAAAACCTTCTGCAACAAGTAAATGCTATCACAGATATCTGAATCCTGTTGAGGAAACATTCAAAACCAAATTGCACCTATTTTGCCAAGCTATTCTTAAAGCTTACAGGGTGCAGCAGTGCAAACAGTAAAAGGCAGGGACTCAGCAGAACAAAAATATATTTAATTTCTGCCTGGACTGTGTGCTACCTAGAATCTCAGACTCTATCCACATGTCTTGCTGCATTATCTTGCTGAACTATTTAGCTGTACTGACATGTATATTATTATTAGACTTCAGAGCTAATGGCCCAAGGCGATAAGTAAGGCTGTTTGCTTAAACCCATATGTACAAATTCCAGGTAGACCATACTGCACTGGATCCCAGTCAGAAGCTTTTCTCTGTAACTCCAAAAGGTCAGAGACTCAAAGTCTGCTTTCAAACCTGACAGGGAGATGCAGTACCTACTGCAGTCTAAGCCCAGGCGGGCTTAACCCAAGCTTTGGAGAAAAAGCCACATACTGTTGTTAGCTACATAGAGCTCACTAACTGTGAATGACAGCAGTCACCACAAAGTTACACAAGCGTGCACGAAAGCAGAATCTGGACCCATGCACTCACAATTAATATCAGAATTTTGTATTACCAGAAACAATTTTGTTGCAAGCAATTATTTCTTGCCAAGGAAATCAGATGGGAAATCAGCACCAGGGACAACAGAGTTAAAGACAGATGGCAGAGGGGTGGGATTCATCTTGTCCAACTAATTTCTAAAGTTTTCCAAAAAAATTCTACATTCTAGAAAATTCTAAGAAAATTAATTTCTAGGTTCCTTCAACAAGGAGGAGAGACAAGTATTTCCAGAGGTTTTTTTACTCTTACATATCTTAGATATCTGTTTGAGGAGGAGATAAACTGTTGTCCGGAAATGCCTATGAACCTGTTAATTCTATGTGAAGCCTTAAGCTGCACACCTAACTTTGAAAGGCCTCAAGTGAGGTAAAACGTTGCCCACACTAAAAATGAGAAAAATATACTTACTGCATTACAGTTAATTCTAATATACGCTTGCTTACACTAAAAATTCTCAGTTTCGATGGGACCATCTATATGATTTTAAGTTTTGCAGACATCAGCTAAAATATTAAGGGCCACATTCACAGTTGCTGTACGCTAGAACAGCTGAATGAAGCCGATAAACTCGTGCAAGCATACACCAGATGGGGATTGGGTTCAACCAGTACTTAAAGCAGTGTGAAGGCTGCATATGTAAATACTGTCCTCAGTTGGTCTTCTAAACCTGCTACTGTCGATTCTTAGAAAGATGGGTAGCTCAAGCTAGATTTTTTTACAAGTGTCATTTTATAGATGCCACCAGATGAGAAGTGCCAGTGGAAAAATCAAAGGCAAACCAGCAAACACCACAGTGCAACAACCCTCACTTTTTATAATGGGATGATGAGCCTAAAAGCCATCAGTAGTGCTTAGAATTCAGCAGAATCTCCACCAATGCAATTGTAACAACAGAAGCAGAGCTTCTGCATAATAATTCATAAGGAAAAGAGACTGTATTTGTGAGCAGAAAAGAGTGTCACAAGAAAAATCATTGCTGCCAAATCACACAGTTCATGAATTTGAGGGCAAGTTTTGGGTGTGTCATGGTATCGTAATTTCTATGCAATTGCTTGGTAGGAGCACTGAATAGTCTTGTGCACACAACATTCAAGTTCATGATGAATGACAACAGGCAGAAATTCTATAAAAATTCAGGTGACATTTCTTCATAACCTTGAAGATTGAGAACAAAGATTTTCTCTTTGGAAAGTAAAATACAAACAAGCTGGCATGTGTATTCTAAGTTTGCTTTGTTTATTTAGCCTTATCTAAATATATATTTTGAATGTTTTTATACTAGCAGTGCTCTGGTATTGAAGGTACACTCACTTACAAAATAATGCCTATTCACTGTTCATGAATGATTAATAACTTTATCGCAAAGTCAGCACAACGCCTATCTCGAGTGAGGGTTATCTCCCAGTGTTCTGTGTTAGGTGAGTTCTAAGCCCTAACTTGCAATAATCAAGAGCACTTTAATCATGACCTGCCAACCTCTGTTGTCCCTCCACTGAATTTTTGCTATGAACACGGAAGCTGTCAGACTGGTTCAAACTACTGGTACAGTCAGGTCAGCTTACTGGTGCTGTCAGCAGTCAGTACAAGATACGGACAAAGCTGCCATGAACTTCACAGGTCATCATGTAAAAAACTATCCATAAAGAGGATTTCCTCCCTCTATGTGTGTGTAAAAGTACATCACTTGACGAAGTTCTTACCATTCCATAGCACACTGTTAACAGAAGGTGTGCTAAGTGATGGAACTAGTGGAGTAAGGCAGGCTGAAAGGAGGTACAAAAGCTGGGGTTCAAAGTGGTGCGATGCACCTCAAAGAAAACCTGTTAAGAAAAGCAGGTGGATGTACCAGCTTTTTGCTTTAAGAGAGAAAGTAGAGGGTCACAGTGTACAGGATCCTGGTAAACTGAAGCCTGTGCTTGGCCAAAACCTATGTGAAGAGGCAGTTGTATAAATGAGAACAACTGGAAAGACCACGAGGTTCCAGAAAAAGATTTCTGCACAGATTTCTGAGACCAGCCCAGAGGGAACCTCTGCAGTGTCTCTGGGCTGCACGTTTGCCAGTGCAGCACTACAAACTTGTTAAACATCTCTCCCCTGGTTTGCTTTTAAGCAGGGATTTAACCTCCCTATCTTTTATTGAAACTGTACTGTATTGTCGCAGATTACCATGCAACTTTGAGAATATCAAATACGCCTGATAATTTTCAAATCTTTAGTGCTGTGCAATTTACAATAGTGGATAAGTTACAGTTGTGCAATTCAGTAACCAGTATAAATCCTCCCAGAAATTCAGCAACACGAGCTAGACACACGGGTAACGTCAGGGAAAGTTTAGTTTAGAGCCTCTTCTGACTCTGCTCTCTAGAGCTTTCTTTTCCTCTGCCTTCACTCATTCATCATAGCCTGCTCCTTCTACTTGAGCATCTCTTCTTCTGACTGCGATTTTACTCAGCTGACTGGAGTTGGTGTTTTTCCCAAGTACTGGTACTTGTGAAGAACTGGTAAGATGAAGTGCAGGTTAGGTGTGTGAAAATACAGCAAAAACTTGGCAATTTAAAGAGATGATACCTATGGTTTTTATTTGCCCCTCATCTTAACACAAAACACATCACCACCCCCAACTTCAAATCTTCCCTTATAGGTATAATTTAAACTAGCAGACACTGCTTTACATCAGTGCATTGAATGCTGTGGTGTTTCAGCTATGCCAGCATAACTACTGTGGTATAAAGCATGTGTAGACAAGCCCTTTGAAAAGTGCTGTAAAACCTGTTTAGGTCAAATCAGCCAGGTTTCTACAGGGGAAAAAAATAGTGTCTCTTGCAACAGCAAAGCACATAAGTACTGCTATTTTATTGCAATTTACTCAATTCAGGCGCCAGATGGTTTTAGAGAGAAGTAACAACCAGAACCATTACCAATTCTGTGCATCTGTTTGCTTTATAGCATAGTTCTGACCAGGTTTGCTCTTCCACTAGATTCTAAATAAAATCTGAGGTCAGCGGTAACTTCATTTAGGATTTTTTAGTTTCTGAAGGGAACCAACTGCACGACATTATGCATTATTCAGCCCACTACGTGAATCACAAGACTATCAGAGACCATTCCCACTGACACGAACATGTAAGTGGAACTGTGAACATCATGGCACTGAACAATTGCTTTCCCTTTACTGGTGCATATAAAGGTTTTAGGTCTACAAGATGGTTTTGTTCCTTTTCTTTTAGAAAAATTCATGGTGTTACAGATTTAACAGGTCATCCTCTGTTCATGCAAGTTTAGACCATGTTCCTCTTAGTTGGCCATGCATATGAACTGAGAAGAAACAAGACTGCTTCTTACTCAACTGTTCTGCACAGCAAACCTAGTCCAAAACACGGTTACATGTACAAAACAGTGAGGCCTGGGAGCATGCTACTGGATTCTGACTGTCTCTCCCATTTACAATGGCCAGAGTAGTGACTGTATGGGGCATAAAGAAGCAGCTCCTAAGACTTGTTTTCATCTTAGGAACTGATTTACCTGCTGACCCAAGCCAAGAGAAGAAGGTGGAAGTAAGAGGCAGGTGTCCAGTTTATTCAATGCATTGGAGCCACCTTATTTCAGAATTAGAGCTGTCATGCATGGTTTTGATTATTCTTACTTAGGGAAAATTAAACTCACATCTCCAACTAATTTGCCTAATTTTCCTGAACGTTCCTGTGTAGACTTGTCTTTAGTCACAGTTCCTTCCCAGGTTTGCTCCTGGAGTGAACAGTCATGTTTCCTTTCCCATTTTGAGTTGCAGCCCAACGTACTACCATCGGATTGCATCGGAGCTTGTTAAATTGATGTGTCAGCTAAGCTGTGGTAACTGTTCAAATGAAGACTCTTAGCTGCACCAGAAGTGAACTAATCCAATCACACTTAATTTGTTATGTTTGCATAAACATTATTGGTCCCGAGCTCTAAACTTTGATCCAAACACACGTACTTCTCATAAGAGCTCTCAATAGCACAACTTGCTTGAGGAAAAGATAAACAAAGTTTTCAGAGGATAATTTAGCAAACTTGAAGAAGAACATGAAAACAAGCCAAACCTTCTTTTCTTCTCCTGGAATATGAGAGCAAAGGCGAAGGAAAATTAACACAGAAAAAACAAACATGCCATTTCACTGTGAATTCATCACTGCAGAAGCAATTTGGGATCAAGAATTGTGGTAATATTACAAAATCAACATAAATATTTCTACTTATACTAAGGACAATTCCTGATTCAGGGCACAATGACTCAGTGCGCTGAGGACGCAAACCCTTTCCTCATAGTAAACGTGCTAAGTAAGCGGTGATGGAGAAGCAGAGCTTTAACCTTCTGCTACACTGTGTGTTCTGGCCAGTGTAAAACTAGGTAATCAGCTGACTGATTGAATTACGGCTATCACACTGCTAATCTAAGCGTCTGATTCTGCCTCTTTTAGGCACCTCATCCTACAACACTGCCTGTAGTAAAAGGAAGTGCAACGAAGGGTGAATAAGATCATGAAAAAAAAAGAAAGGTGTAAAAAAATAATTCCACAATTAACAGTGACAAGGCAAAGGTTTCTTTTATGGCTGTAGAGGCAGAACAAAGAGGACAATTTAGAGCAGAAATATGTACCTTCACTGTTGACAATTATTGAAGCAGTTCCAGTAGCAGCATCTGCAGTCTGACCTACAAATGCTAAGAAAGGGAAAAGTTACAGCATGCATCAGTTCAATACATTACTTTCAACCAATAGCATGTGATGCAGTTTAATTGAATTAAATCTAAAGTGAACCCATAACCTCCAGCAATTTAAAAATGCTAATTACTCTTTCATGTGCAACAATGCCAGAGAAGCTAACAACAACAAAAAGTGTTAATTTACACCCACAAAACAGAAATGCGAGTCCACCGTTCTTTAATTTGGCTACATCTCTGCTTTAGAGAAAGCATGTTATTTATACAGTCTTCTCAGGCACTCTACTCCTACATGGATGTATTCCTTTTATCCAATGAAACAATGGAATCAAGGCTGGAGAAAACTAAAATATTACAACAACACAGCATTTAATTCTCTGTAGATTTGCATTTCAGCAGTAATATTAACATGTGCTGTGAAGGCAGTGGTGAGGCTGTGTGTTTCCTCTTTGGATTATTATTCAGATAAATTAAGTAGAAGTGAGGCTGGCAGCACTGTCTATTATAAACATTGTTCCATATTTCCATATAAGAAGCTGTTTTCAGCTCTCAGCAAATTTGTCAAATATTAACCAGTGGTCTGAAAGTTTCTGTGACGTGTGGGTTCTTTTTAGGTAGAACTGTAGTAGAACACTGTCAAAAAAATGACTTCTTTTTGGTTTTGTTTCCCCCCCTCCTCCCCCCTCCCCACC